AAAAATAAATAAATAAATAAAACTGCAAAAAAGGTCATTATTTACAAAAAAAAGACCAACAAAAAATTGGGAGCATATATTATGCTCCTACCATTTATCATACAGCAAATAAGTCACAGGAAAAACTAAACTATTAGTTTTTTTATTATTTAAACTGCAAACGTGAAGAAACGTGCAGCACGTCAAAAACGAAACTAAAAACAGTGGGGGGGTCGACCAACCCGCACCACCGCCAGCTGTGGTGCACCTTAAGTTTAGTTTTAGGGTTAATATGTTTATAGATTTTATTATAGGTTTAGAGATTCATATTTTTTGCTTTTGGTTTGTGAAACAAGGTTAGAGGAAGCTGGTTCTGGTTTGGTCGATTGGACCCGGTGTTACACCATATTCTGACCTGCAACAGTGCATGCAACACCGCCCCCTACAGTCACAAAATATGGTGTAACACCGGTTCGCAACGAGCTCCAAACAGTCAGGAAGTTTATTCATTTTCTGTTTCCTTACGGTAGTTGAACCAGAAGATTCATCTTTAGTGAAATATTTCCAGACTATTGATGCATTTCTACCTGTTTGTCAAGACTGGGTCTGCTCTGCTCCATCCGTCTGCTTGGAGGAATCCCTTTGGTAACCCGCGCCCGATGCGGATCACGTGACACGTGACACGATGATGTAACAGCGGCGTAATGACGTCACCACGAATACTCGACATGAAATTAAAAACCTCGATAGGTGTCCTAGGAATCGATGTGTAGATTACTTGAGTAGTATGTTAAAGCCCTAGTGTTCATATGTGCCATAGGAAAGATGCAGAGCATTAATTTTACCATTGGGAATTGATAGAAGCTCGAGGTTCTGGCTCTTACAGTACAGATTTCAGGGAACTCTGGCACAAAGCTCCAGCCAGCTCGGACCAGGACTAGGACCATCAACGTGTGTTAGTAAAACTTCCACCTCTCAGTGGAACACACACCGAGAGGTCGTACAGAACCATCAACATTCACGGTTTAACACCCACATATCTGGACTCTCATCATGACACCACTGACATCCTCAGATCTGCACCAGAATCCTCAAGAAGTGATGATCGGGACATGATTTTTACTAAATCGTCTAAAACAACAACAGGTACCAACATGAACGTTTGTGTGGAAGAAGCTGGCTCCACTCACCCTGGAAGGACTGCCTGGCTCTCTCCACGAGCTCCTCTACGGGGTAGCTGGCCAGGTCTCCTCGAGCGTGTTTGGTCTTGCAGTAGGTGCACGCATTCAGACACCTGGGCACACAAAGAACACAGAATCAAGGTACCATCACTGCTGCCCAGGCCTGGAGGCGCTGCGCTCTTTTACTGTTATGTGTCGACGTGTTTTCAGAAACATACGTTTTATCTCTGCAGTCAGAATAAACTGTAAAACAATGTAAACATGAACACAAATGAACTGAAGGGTTCACGTGGATGAAGAGGGATAAACTGATGAGACGTTTGAACCCTCCTGCTACTCCTGACCCATGAGGCTTCAGTAAACTGACGCCTCATTTTGACCCATGGGCAGCAGGAAGGTAAATTATATTTTTTTTGTGCTGTCTATGTAAATAAAACCGAAACAAATCTGCTGTTTTCAGCCACAAGAGTTCATACAGACTATAATCCTGAAACAGTCATGAGCTGTCTGTCAGAGAGGGGATAAGCAGTACTGTACAGTTTAATAAAGTATAGACTTTAATTGATGGTAAATGGACTGTATTTAGATAGTGCCTTGCTATCTTATCAAGATACTCAAAGTGCTTTACAACACAGGTTGTGCCCTCATTTACCCATTCATACAGCACTCTACTACAGTAGTCCTTCGTTTATTACGGGGGATCAGTACCCTGAAGCCCTGTGATAAGTGAAAAACTGCAAAGTAGGAATAGTAGTACAAGTAGTAAGAAGTAGTTTATCTTAATACATACATATACACACATATATATACATACATATACACACATATATATACATACATATACACACACATATATATACATACATACATACACACATATACATACATACATACACACACATACATACATACATACACACACATATATATATATACATATATATATATATATATATATATAGGGATTTCAAACACTGCCCACACTTTTGCAATATTCTAAACAATGTTTCAAACTCTAAACGCTCTAAAAGAGCACGGAATGTCATGATTTCAGGTCTTTGACTCTGGCTGCCTTCTCGGCCCCACCCACTTCTCCGCTCTGCACGAAGATCAGCTGATCAGCTGAGTGCGACAGGGGGAAGTAGACCCCACATTAAATAGGGGGACAAAATTGATCCAATAGAGGGGACCATCCAAAACCCAACCCAAGACATAAACAGGCACACACACACAGCCCGACAGAGCCTCTGTTGGGCCGTCCATATGCCCCATCCACCCGACAGTGACCGCAAGCCGGCCCCAGAGCAGCAGGGAGAAGCAGCTGAGGAAGGCTGGCCCAGCGCACCAAGGACCAGGCACACCAACAACCTCACACCCCACAGGCTCGGAGAAGCCCCGGCATATATATGTAATATATATATATATTAAAGGTCCAAACCCGAAAAAAAACCCCAACATTTTTAATTAAGTTTTGACTGCTGGTTGGCGGATGCACACGACTGAATAAAGGGGACAGAAGCTTGAAGCTGAGGGGGTGTTTGTCCTTTCATGGAAGTCAAAGTGCATTGAATTCTTCTCCTACTAGGCTTTGATTATTGAGATGAAGGTGAATTAATGTTAGATTACTGTTGAGTGTCACTGAGCCTGCTGAAAACAGGCTGACAGACAGATCTGACTCCGACTCAGGCAGCTGGGAACAACACTGATGCTGCTGAACTGGCCTCGCACCTGTCACACCTGCAGCTTGGTGTGTGCGCCCCATGTTCACAGCTGAACTTCAGCATGTTTTCACACGGCTGAGCTGCACAGCTTTGGCAGTATGTTCTGCAGAAGCACCTTATGGTCATTAAACATACATGAAGTGTGTCATGTGATCCATGCAAAATCATCCAATCCATCCAAAATGAAATGTGATGTATAAATAAAAACAAGTGGTTATATATTTGTAAATGCCCTAAATTAATTTCCTAACCACAGTGAAGGGTGTATTTTTGGTGTTATAAAGTAAAAAAAAAAAAAAATAGTTCTTTTGAAACAAAAATAATAAAAATATTAATGAACCTTGTTCTTATTTTGCATCAGTCCTGCTCCTGTTAATTAAACCACAGAGAACTACCTGAAACCAGTCATTCATTAAGAGGGGAGAATGAAGAAAGGCCACCTCCCAGGTGGATCGGCAGTGTGCGTGCACGTGCGTGTGTGTATGTGTGTGTGCATTTTGGATAACAACACAATTGTGTTAACGGTGCACAGAGAATGTAACAAAGAAAGGAAAGTCCAGGGATTCCTCTGTACGTTAGTAAACATTAGCACACACGCACAAACACATGCGCACACACACTCAGAGCTGTTTTAAGCAGCATGTTAAGGGCAAAGGTTGGCATTAAGTTGAGCAAGACAAAGGTTTAATTTTTGATAAGTATAGTATTTACATGTTCAATAATTACAAAACTTCTTTGTGCATAAACAAATCAAGCCATGCGCATACTCAAACAAGGGGGGGGGGGGGGGGTGCGTGTGTGTGTTCAGCAGGCTTTGTGTTGTGCTGCTTCAAAATGTAATTATGAGAACAAAGCTGAAATTGTGAGGGTGGGGAGTCAAATTGTAAAGAAAGATTATTCCTCTGCGCTCATTGATGAGACCGACAGATGACTGGAGTGGGTTTATGCGCAAACAACAACTTTAAACTCCTTTTCTAAGAGCAAACAATGCCTCCAGACTCCAAGTTCACTATTGGTGTCATCTCAAAGTCAAAGAGGGGGTAGCAAACTAACACAGAGTCAGGGAACAAAGAGTGCAGCCAAAATAGAGCAAAGAACTATTAAGATCCATGAATAGAAGGTGATTAGTAACGCAGAAACCGCTCAACACTTAAACCCACTTCACATTACATCTGCACTCTGCACACACACCACAGACCTGGAGAGAGACAACTTGCTGTAAACAAATCCTATATTAAGCCATAATGAGGATTCAGGACCCATGCTTACAGCTTGATATGGAGCTGAACCATCTTGGCTCAACTCTCGAGCATTATGAGAAATTAGGAACTGAAACAAGGGAAACCACGAATGTTGGGACTAAACTATTTGTTTATTGGTAAACAGTGACAAAAAATAATGCTCTACTTTCTTAAAGAATAACTTTGTTTGTTAAAGCAACATTTCAAATTAAGTTCATGATTCATAAGTAATTAGGGCTCTATGAAGAAATGAAGTGGGCCACGACTGTGCACACGTTGCAATATCTCCACACAGTCTTAGTAATAATACATTTCTTTTGCAGAGGAGGAGAAGTTGTGGATCCTCACAGACCTCCATAACTTCTCCTCCTCCACCATAACCCTCAACACTGGATCCCCTCAGGGCTGTGTGTTGAGCCCCCTCCTGTTCACTCTGCTCACATGACTGCGCACCTACCCATCCAGGCTGTCATATTGTAGTTCGTAAATGATACAGCAGTGGTGGGATGCATCACAAACAACGATGAGACAAGGAACGTCTATGATTCTGACATTGTTCCTTTGCATATGTCCCTCCACAGTCTCAACCCTCTTCTTCAACCCATCTACCTTGTTCCCGAGTTCCGTCACTATACCGTGCAGAACTTCCACTTTGTCTGACCAGTTAGAGAGCCCATCTGCAGCTTCTTTCACACTCAGTCTCACCTGGTCTGATCTGAGGGCCGTGATGCTGTTAATAACATCTGCCCTCACTGCTTGGAGCTCACCCTGAATAAAGTCAAGCTCCTCTGCCAGGGCAGCCTTCATCTCCAACCTAATTATTGCAGAAAATTCAGTTTTTATTGAAGCCAGAATTTCTGACTTCAGGGCCGACTTGACGGTCTCTCTAGAGCCCAGTGAGGGTGGAGCCAACTCTCCTGTTCCTGAAGCACCATGGTTCGAGGCTGCGTTAGGCCCAGCAGAACGGCCACAGAGCATGTAGCCTTCAATTTCTTTAATTTGGAGGTCATCTTGCAGCTCTGTCGATTCAATCATACAACAATGCTGACTACAGAAGAATCCAATGCAGAGGCAGCGGGAATATTCTTATGAAAGGCAGTTTTAAACAGTACTGACGGGAGTTATTGAGCCGCCATCATCTTCGGCCATCTTGGATTTTGACATGACAATCCAATTTTCAATAGTAACTTTTCTCATGCCTAGATTCAGCCACACACTAAAATGTAAGTTGTCACATTGCTTATTTTTTATAGTTATTATGCTGACAAGATACATGGACAGATGGACAGAGGCCATTTCCAAATCCTCCTCTTCACTTTTTTGTGTTTCATCAATCTGACCTCATTTCTCCAAACTTTAACAGCAGCTTTCTGTGCTGGCCTGACTGGAAACCAGTCAGCTTGTCAGCTGTTTTAATGACTTTTTGTTCTGTTCATAGGAAAATGTGGAGACATGGTTAATAAGCCCACTGTTACAGGACAGGAATGGTCCAGTATTTGTTACCAAACTCAACTCACAACTCACCAAGGCTCACTGATCAAGTCTGAGGCTGAACCAAACTGACTCACTGATTGAACACTTTACCACAAGATTTAAAGCTAAGGTGTTGCCCAGCGTTGAAAATCACTCATCTACTATCACACCTCATTCTAGACTAATATCTGTAGACTGGCTGAGTTAGTCATTTTTGTATTTTTAGGGTCAGTTAGCCATGGCAGCCATCATTAACTAAATTTTGTTGCCAACATTTAAACATTGTTTAAAAGACAGTGAAAGTAATTTCTAACCTAATGGCTGACTCTGTCTTTCAATCTTTAGGATTTTGTAATAACGTATAAAATTATAAATCACTGGGATCAACTTCCTTTAACTGTAAATATACATTGACAAAGTCTAAAAGGCCTTCGCCTTAGTACTACTGTTTCCGTTTTTAGTCCAATAAATTCAGTGACGTGCAGTCAGGGGAGGCAGGTGAGGCAGTGCCGCACCTGTCATCATGACAAGTAAAATACTAACAATAATGAGAAAATACATTTGACCACTTGACTGTTCTATAAAACTGTTTTATAAAACTGTTTTCTGAATTATTTCAACACTTCAATGGTCAAAATTGTGAAACTTACACATTGCGTGTTCAAACATGGAAGAAAT